CACAAAACCTTACACGACAGCACCTACCTACGGAAAATGTAAAATCCAACTGACTGCTACACTTCTAGCCAATGAAAGACGAGAAAACCAGGTAAATTGAAAACGCGATAGCGTTCATCCTCACCCGTGGGTTGACCACTGCGACGATGTATCCTTGTTAAAATGTATCCGCACGTCGATTGTAAGACCCTAGGTTTTGTGAATCCTTAGAAAGCGTTACTATATCCAACCCGGTAGTACTTTCTTCCTCAGGTCGACTTAAGGAAGGCTGCATTCCATAAAACTAATAAGAATAATAATTTGATTTATTCCAAAAACAGAACTTATAATACTGGGAAGAAATTGTTTCCGGCATATTTCAGATAGAAGCTGACAGCAAATTTCTTCTCAGAAATACGGAACGACGATTGTAATCAAACCTGCGATTGATTAAACCAATGATCACGAAACCATATTAAATATGGTATGTAAAGCTGTAGTCGTGAGAAGTCTAGGGTTGAATGCCACCAAACGCACTGTCAGTGTGCTTAGGAAACAGTGACATCGGAGTCATGTGATGGACGATCCACGGGTAGTATGAAACAGCTCAAATGTCTACATGAAGAACAAAGTGATTGGAATAAACAATATTTAGCGGAGAGTGGAATACAAACAATTCATGTACAACAGATACTGTTTAACTACACGATAGTTTCTACAGATCAGAGAGGAGGTTCAGACACTGAGATATATTTCAAAGGAAGGCAATGGTTATCGTTACGCAGTAAGGACACAGCAAACAAAATATAAACTCATACTACTGACCAGTAACAAGTGGTACAAATCGGAACACTGGTCGACCATCCATCTGAACCAGCAAAGATAGGAGTAGCCAAAGGAAGGACTGAAAACAACAAGTTATGTCACTGAGTCAGACACATATGCGTGGCAATTAAAACAATGACCTGCCTAACCTTTGAGATATCGAAAGACAAATGTTCATCCATCAGCTGACGATATATCTTTATAAGCACTAAATCTTCATCGACGCCTCCCAATAAGCAAAGATTATGTGCAACCCTACTGATGGCACCACCAGATGTCTTTATATCCACTTGTCTTATTTGTGCATTGTGAAATCATTGGATATTAGCCGTCCCACCAGTCCCAATATGTATCGACAGGCGGTCGTCTTGATTTTCGTTGGGAATAACGTCCGCATATACTTGCTTGGATTTCAAAAACTTGACCGGGATTTCTAGATAATAAAACGTGACTTGGATTCAGGTCATGCTGTTGACTTAGGTTGTCATAAACAGGTGCCGCCACTTCAATATTTAGTACTATTTCTACCTCCATCATACAGGTTATCAACGACTCATTTGTGAAAACGTATCTCTTGGAGATCATGCTCAACAGTAGACGTACGCTTCGCGTTGACCTCTACCATATTCCATTACAGTGGCTGGCATCAGGGAAACGAGGTGATATCATATGCCGTGAGGCGCTCGAATTTTCAAGTGAGTAAATATGCATCGTATCATTTATCTCCAATGATTCCGTCGAAAGACAACAGAATCAGATCATACCACAGAATCCCGAAATGCAAGGAAATATCCTCTCATATACATTAGTAGGGAAATACGCAGCTCATTTAGTTTTCTAAGTGATACAGGTGACCTGATTGGTGGAATATGCTTTCTCGTTTACCCGAAATCCATCGGTATGAACGGTGTACAAATGCATATTAATAAGGCACTTCTAGTAAAACAATTGTAATGACTCGAATGTGTGTACTGGTGTACAGAATGTTGCATTCTGTCTGTCGAAACTCTGTTGAAAATCGGGTCTGGCATACTGCTGTGATTTTCGGCTAGTTGTTTCTAGTGTTCTGCCTTTGAACGTCTGCTAATGAAACTGGCAATATGATGCAAGCTACGAACAACTCAACCGCTAGAAATGTGGGCAGTATCAGGCGAATCTGCCTTAATTGGGAGGCGTTTATTGTCATAACAGGAGCTATATCTACTTCGAGATAATAACTTTCTTTCAATTAGTCAATTGGACATAACTTGTTCAGAATTCATAACATGAATAAGATAAAGTTGATGTGGAAGAAGTGAATCAGACGAGAGAGAGTGCATGCTACTACTTATCAAAAGTGAGGACGGGTAATTCCAATTCTAAAGGAAAGGGAAACTGGCGATATGGGCAGTTTGGAAGATCCTTATTAGAACTTTACGAGTCGTGCTTCTGAGTAAGGAATGAAATGTATAGGCTTTCCGATCATGTGTTCAGTGGAAATGCAAACTACAATCTGTAAGATAACGTTAATCAAGAAGAGTTTGTGAACGAATTTTGTGGGAATAGGAAAATACGTCTATGACAGTTGAATCAGCCTACCAAATCAATCCAGACAGAGCATGTGGTGCAAAACTTTAACACTGATTCACATATGAGGACGAAGCATGATCATCAGCTTGATTAAGTGATAACCATCACCCATAGCTTAATACAGTTGTAGTCGTACATATTGTAACGCTTGTAAACTGCGAAGACAATATTTCTATATTTCTTGATGTGCTTCACTGAATGACTGATTATTATATTGTTCCCGTAGATAAAATGACTGCAACCTTATAATTTTACCATGAACCAAATTTATGTAATTTAAATAATACTTATCCATGCCTGTACAACTGGTGTGTCCTACACAGGTAGGAAAGAATGTATTTTATTAAATTACTATTATTAAATATGCTTACTAATCGTATATGTAATTTATCATATTGATGATGCTTGTAAACTGGCGTCCCCCATGTAAAAAATGAGAATATACTATTATTATTATATTCACCACAGTGTCTTGCGAAACACCACCCATAACACAAACACACAAAACCTTACACGACAGCACTTACCTACGGAAAATGTAAAATCCAACTGACTGCTACACTTCTAGCCAATGAAAGACGAGAAAACCAGGTAAATTGAAAACGCGATAGCGTTCATCCTCACCCGTGGGTTGACCACTGCGACGATGTATCCTTGTTAAAATGTATCCGCACGTCGATTGTAAGACCCTAGGTTTTGTGATTCCTTAGAAAGCGTTACTATATCCAACCCGGTAGTACTTTCTTCCTCAGGTCGACTTAAGGAAGGCTGCATTCCATAAAACTAATAAGAATAATAATTTACTTTATTCCAAAATAAATAAATAAATAAATAATAGTATATTCTCATTTTGTACATGAGGCACGCCAGTTTACAGGCATCATCAATATGATAAATTACATATACGATTAGTAAACACATTTAATAATAGTATTTTTTTTTTTTTTATTTTTTCCTACCTGTGTAGGACACACCAGTTGTACAGGCATGGATAAGTATTATTTAAATTACATAAATTTGGTTCATGGTAAAATTATAAGGTTGCAGTCATTTTGTCTATGGGAACAATATGATAACTAGTCATTCAATGGAGCACATCAAGAAATATAGAAATATTGTCTTCGCATTAACAAAAAAAACCCAAGTATGTTTTGGATGGATTACAAATACTTGGGAAAAAAATAAAGCTTGAAGTAATTCCTCCATATAACTTTGGTGTGTACGGCATCGAGTCTTATTCTTGATAATAATTTAAAATAAGTAATCCACTTGTATACTTTTGTCAGCATTTTCTTCGTAACATCACAAGTGAATAGTACTCAAGGTAGACTAATAATAATGGTAGTTTATATTTTCTTATAAACGGGTGTTTTCAAGAAATGCAAGCTATTTTGCAGACAAGATCAGTTATGTTATAAGTTACATTCGTGAAGTATTATAAATCAATACTTTTTTATTGGTATAAAGATATATTTCACAACTGTAATCCAGGTTACGTCGTTGGTGAAGGCAATGCGCAATTCACGAGGGAATTGTAAGTTATGGGACCAATAATGTTTGCAGATCATTTGTCATTGTAAATGGGCAAATATCTTCATTCTTCGTTCTCATTCAAAAAGTTAAATGGAAGCTGAAATGGTGAGAGACAAAAGAAGACAACAACAACAACAACGCAAAAGAAAGCAAGTGGAGTACTTAGGGGGTGATTAATATGTATACATACATTTATATTCTGTTTAGTAATTATAGTTATTTTGGTGCACTAACTAACTATTCCCGTAATGCTAACTTTTATATTGTGTGAGCTAATATTGTTGTCCTGTGTAAAAATGTCTATCATGTACTTCCAATAATATAAAAATTTATAATTGTATTTTGTTGTAACTACACGTTTAATGAACTTAAAATATCTATGTTGGACGAAAAAGTGGATGTAGGATTCAGACTCAGAAGTGCACTGTCATCTTTGAGCAGTCTGGTGACTGAGGAGATGAACACTGCGAGTGTGTTTGCATCGCGCACATCAGCTGGCAGTCTATTCCAAATGACTGAAAACTTATTTAAGAAGAAATTATACCGCATGTGAGTCTGACAATGCTCTATAGCAGCTAGGTTGTGATGATTTCTAAGATTGTAACTGATGACAGCGGTAGGTTTAATTATTGGCTCGGAGGAGTGCACGAGCAGATTAGTTAGCTTGTAGTAAAAAATCAGGTTTAGCTTAAGACGTCTTTTCCAGAGTGGTTCTAAACTTAGTCTGTCGCAACGTTCATAGTATTGGAGACCACTTTCTAAACCAAGAATTCTTAAGGTGAATTGCCGTTGCACTCCTTCTAACTTAAGCTTGTCATTTTGCCTGAGTCCGCTAAGAATAAACGGGCAGTATTCTAAAATAGGTCGGACACATACTTTATATAATAAAACCCTAGTTTCACAACAAAAGAAATTACGAGTTATGCATCCTAGGAGCCTTCGTGTTTTACGTCTGGCATAATCAGTTTGTTCAGAGAACGTTAAGTTACTAGAGTATCTGATACCGAGATCTACGACTGAGTTGAGCTTGGCTAGTTTACGCCCATTTATTTCAAGATTCAGGTCAAGGTTACTGTTTCCGATACAAATCCAGCCGCATTTATCAATGTTGAACTTAAGACAGGATTCAGTACACCATGTTGCGAGACTACTTAGTTCAAGATGTATTTTATTCACCATATCGCTTAGTTCATGAGCGTGGCAGGAGTAAACGACTTTGAGGTCGTCAGCATATAGGAATGATTTACCTGAGGTGAAGCAGTTGCAAATGCTGTTAATGTATACTGTAAATAAAAGTGGACCTAGGACACTACCTTGCACAACCCCACTTGTGATCTGTCTGGGATGAGACAACACAGATCCAACCTTGGTTATTTGTACCCTATTGCTTAGAAAGGATTTTAACCAGCTCAGTAATGGATTGCGAATCCCACATGAATACAGCTTCTCAAAGAGAATGCTGTGAGATACCATGTCAAATGCCCTAGATATGTCGAAGTAAAGAACAACAACTAGCTTACGTGCTTCGCGACTACTAGTGACGCAGTTGAAAAAGTCGAAGTGGCAAGTAACGCAAGACCTATTTTTGAGAAATCCGTGTTGAGACCTTGTAACAAGATCTTCCTTAAGTAGATAGTCTGACAACTGATCTTTGACAACTTTCTCCATGACTCGCGAGACAACTGGGGTTATATTTATAGGTCTGTAATTGCGGACGTTTGCCTTATCACCGGATTTATGGTGTGGAATTATGAAGCTAGTTTTCCACTCATTAGGGTAAGTGCCAGTGTCCATAGATATCGAGAAGAATTTAAGAAGTAGTAGGGGTATATCACACCCACTGTTTTTGAAAATTATGGAAGCAAGGCCATCTGGTCCCGTGCTAGTGGAAGGTTTCAGGCTTTTAACTGCCTGTTCTATTAATTGGTCGGTGAACACTATGCTTCCGAGGAAAGAACTAGTAAGGGGGCCGGTGTCACGAGGAATGCGCGTTTCTAAACTGAAGTTTGCAAACCACTCACTGAATATTTCACAGATGGTGGAAGGCTCATTGTAGATAACTTTGTCATGAAGTAAATAGGGGATGTCCCTCGTCGACTGCATTCGCTTTTTAAGAAGCGTTGTTAAGTTATAAACTTTGGAGGTGCTTTCAAGTGCCCTTAATTCTTCGTCGAGGTCCTTTTGAGAGCGTTGGCGCTTGACAGATTCAAGAGACTCATGGATTGAGTGCAGTAGTGATATATCCTTAGTTGAATAGTACTGTTTCTTCAACTTCCTCAACTTATTGCGGCATGCCCTCGGAATGTAATCAGCTTGGTGTCTACTTAATTTCACTACCTTCTTAGGAGCAACAGTATCTAGACAAAGGATAACATTCCTGTAAAATAGGGACACTACAGTCTCCAGGGAGTCAGTGGTAAAATATTCATCCCAGTGACAGAGTCGAATGAGTTCTTGGACTAATCCCCAGTCTGTATGTTTGTAACTACGACAAATCAAGCTCCCTGAATCCTGTTTGTTTCCTGTATTTAGTGGTGAGAAAGGCAGAGAGCAGAGCACCATTCTATGGTCACTACTGGAAAATCTGTTACCAACATAGGTGGAGACTGGGATTGTGTCATGACAAAACACAAGGTCCAACATGTTGTCACCACGAGTAGGTGTCTGGACGTGTTGCTGCCATCCATAACAATCGATAGTGGCAAGTAATTCGTCGAAGCGTTGCGGGCCGGAACTACTTAACCAATTGGCTTCTGGAAGATTGAAGTCCCCTGCAATTATTTTGTAATTAGTACTAAACGATGAGGCGTGTGCGAATGATTTAGCTAATAACGCATCAGTTTCTTTGGTTGAGCTTGGTGCTCGATAAACACAGCCTATGAGAAGCTTGTACTTATCTCCTTGTAAGACGACCCAGAGTGAATCAGGTACATCGTTCAGTATTTCATCTTCCACCTTACTGGCTACGAATGAGTTATGTATATATATGAGACATCCTCCACCACGCTTGCTGTCTCTATTTGCACGGTGTACAGTGTAATCATCTATGCCTATATGCACATCAAGTACAGAGTATGAGCACCATGATTCAGTAATCAAAGCTACAGTAGGCTTGGCGATAAATAATAATGCCCTTAGTTCAGATATCTTATTGATTAAGGAACGCGCATTAATTAGCAATATCGTGAATAAGTCACGGGATACTACAAACTGGCTTAAGATATCACCATAACCTAACTCTGTTTGTGCGTCAACAATGCAAGAGTTTATGAATGATACAGGGGTTGGACTGGGTGTCTGTGCATCGGGGTTAGAGTGCAGTGAGGTGGTCCTAGGTGCCATGGGTCGTACCAGTGATTCGGGACACGTGGAAAATTTACCATTTGTTCCTGGATATAAGGATAGTAGATGTTGGGCCTGGGTTGACGGTTAAAAAGCATAGCATCAAATGGTCTACCCATCCACGTGCTATCCATCATACCGGTACACACCTTCGTGTTGGTTTTATAACTTAAAGGAAATTGAAAGGGAAGGTGCTTTGGTTGTAAGACTTTGGGGGTTTTTGGGCCTGACTTTCTATAAGGTGGAGCATACTGAAAACCACCAGATATACTTGTGTTTCGAGAGGAACTTTTCGTAAGAGGTGAGGGTTTTTTGACAGTCTTACTCTCAGCAAGCTTATTGAATACAAAGTATTCTTCCCCATCATTAGTCTCAACCCGGCGAAATTTGTTCATTGTGGTTAGGTCACCACGTTTGGGTAAGAATTTCTTGGAACGACTTGCAACAGTTCTACCTATTTTAACATCTTTTGGTGAGACGTTATTTACAGGGGTGCTGGTATCTAAATCAGTCCCTAGTTCCATTGCCATGCGTGGTTGTTGTGTGGTCTGCTGAATGCTAATGTCAGCATTAGGTGACTGTTGCTGTGCACGAACGTTTTTGGGTAATTCTACGCTAGAGGAGGTGACCAGGTTATTACTCCGCATCATTCTGCGCTGACACGGTGTTTTATCTTGAGCTATGGTTATGGACTTATAACTACTGTTCAGTCTTAGGTGATCCTGGCATTTAATAAACTTACTAGAATCAAGGGAATTACTGAACTTAAAAATAATGGGACAGTTAGCCTGGTTAGACTTTTTACGAAGTCTTTTGCATTCACATGGAACACTGGCCATGCCGCAACAAATCAGGATTTTGTGTTTAACAGTCTTCAGAGGAAGAGAATCTGGGACATTGTAAACTATAGCCTGGTGAGAAGAGGTTATACGCTTCATCACCTCCGCAGCCAAGCAGTCAATCATATTTTCAGCCTTATTAAGGGTGTCTGGAGACATTTTAGAATGCTTTCTTAACATACAGGCTATTGGGTCTAAATCCGAAAGCTTGCTTTGAGTTACATCCAGCAAAGACTTAACCTGGCCAATATCAGAACTGCTCTCCGTGATATTTGACAATGGCAGTGACATTCTATCAAACTGACCTAATTTTTTCTGAAGTTCATTTACTTGCCTTTGGATATCTTTCACAAGGAGGTCTAATTTACAGATCTCAGAGTTCTCTAACAGAACATCTTTCATCTGTATCACAGGAGTTAGAATTGCACTCAAGCCATTATGTGAGCTAGTAGTTAATGCTGTATTACAGGGTGGTAATGCAGTTATAACCGAGGTTGAGGCACTATCTAAAACAACTGTGTTTCTACGAACACGTTTTTTAGATATTTGGACCATAATTACAGGGATTATATGACTATAAGCAGTAAATGAATATCAGAGCAAACACGTGCAAAAATGTCACCAATTTCGAACGTACCGCCAAGGTTGTATAAATAAACAAATTTATTCTTATAATACATGAGGGACGCCAGTTTACAGGCATCATCAAATTGTTAGAGAAATAGAACCATATAATTCAATTACAATTTACAGGCAGTAGCAAGATATGCCTTACATGTTCGCTGGAGATTATACGTACTCTTGATACATGTTAATCCCAGTAGTATAAAACAGCCTTTTCACCTATATACAATCATTTCTGTGCACTGTTGGAAAAATCTGCTAGATTGTCAGTGAGTGCAACACATCGGGAAATACAGAAGTATTGTCTTCGCATTAACAAAAAACCAGGTCTTTGGCGGATGGATTATAAGTGCCTGGGAAGAAAATAAAGCTTGAAGTCAATTTTCATACATAACTTCGTTGTGTGCAGAATCCTTGAATTATAGTTCATTGATGTGTTATTTTGAAATCAGTGATTTGTTTATCTCATTTGATCTGCAATGTCATTGTTGGGAGTAAATACATAAGCTTCAGACGCATTAATTAATGGATTTCTACTGCTTGTTGGTATTTTCTTAGCGTAAGGAAGGTTTATGAATTTCAGCTGTTCCGACAGGAGTTGAGAATATTAACTGCTCAGCAACATTATGGATATAAGTTCACCACGTTATACAAGGAAAGTTGGGTTGCAGTTGGTGAGGGATATATGGTGCCCAACGAGCGTACATCTATCCATGTGATGTGGTGAGTTATACCTTTTTCATGTTGTCGGTTTTTGTCCAATTTATTCCACGTATTGTGCTGGGTAGTAGTTTTACAAACGAGATTTCTTGTCTGTTTGAGGATACGTATCTTAACCGTTAATGTCTTATCTAGAATTATAAATATAGGCAAAAAACAACAGGTGTAGTACTTAAGCTTATACACTAAATGGACCTATAATTTCGGAGGCTCTCAGATCGGAAGTAGAACTTCTATCGTTTGCAAACTCTTGTAGTTTGTCATTAAGCACCTTTTTGAAGGAGGCCAATGTACTTGCTTGACGCATTTCCATTGGTCGTTTATTCCATATCTGTGCATACCTAATCAGGTAAAACGTTTGCCTGGTGGCTGTTTTACATTGTTCGATAGCTACTGTACCCTTAGTGTGTCTTAGTTTGTAGCCATTGTCATCTGAAAGTCGAGTGCCATTAGTAGAGGTAAAAACTAAGTGGTTTAGAAGCTTATAGTAAAGTGTTAAGTTTAGTCTCAGGCGTCTTAGCCATAGTGTTTGTAGTCCTAGGGTATCACATCTAGTGGAGTAGTTCGCACCACTTTCGGTTCCGAGTAATTTTAAGGTGAAGTACCTCTGCACTCCCTTGGCTTTCAATTTGTCCTCTATGCGTGTACTACTATACATGAATGAACAGTAATCAAATAAAGGATACACACAAACCTTGTACAACAGAATTCTAGACTCATTTCTGTAGAAGTTCCAGAGTAGAAAGCCGATAAGTCTGCGTGACTTTGACACTTGTTTGGAGATATGTTCAGAAAATGATAAGTTATGTGAGTATTTCAGCCCTAGGTCTAGTACAGATTCCAGTCGTAGAAGTGAATGGCCTTGAAATGTCAGGTCAAGTTCTAAATTGTTGCAGCCTATGCAGAGCCAGCCACATTTTTCGACATTAAATTGGAGTTGCCAGGTGTCACACCATCTACCCATTTTTTCTAATTCTTGCTGTATGTCGTTTACTGTTATTCCAAGATCTGTGTTCTTGCATTTATACGTCACTTTTAAGTCATCTGCATATAGTATTGGTTTACCTACACTAAAGCACTCACAGATACTGTTTATATATATTATGAATAAGGGTGGGCCTAATACACTTCCCTGGATCACACCACTACTTACTGGTTTAGGCCTTGAGATTATCGAGCCAACTTTCGTTGTCTGACTTCGGCCACAGAGAAATGATTTTATCCAGCTCAGGAGAGGGTCACATATCCCTAGAGAGCATAACCTGCTGACTAGCAGATTATGGGGAACTCTGTCGAAGGCTTTTGTTATATCGAAATATAGTACAATTACTAGTTCTCTGTTGTCCCTACTTCGTGTAACTTCGTTGAAAACGTCTATGTGACAGGTCACACATGATCTATTTTTGAGAAATCCGTGTTGTGATGGATTGATAAGTTCATGTTCTAGTAAGTTGTCTGACACTTGGTCTTTAACCACTTTCTCCATTATTCGGGATATTACCGATGTTATATTGATAGGTCTATAGTTGCATGCACTGGTTTTGGCCCCTGCTTTGTGCTTAGGTAATATGTATGTGGTTTTCCACACTTCAGGATAAGTTCCAGTTTCCAACGAGAGAGTAAATATTCTAAGTAACAAGACTGCCATTTCCGTGCTACCATTTTTGTATATGACAGATGGTATGTCGTCTGTTCCAGTACTACCGTTAGACTTCAAAGTCTTAATCGCTGAGTCTATATTTTGTATATTAAAGTCCATTTCGCCTAATTTGTGGTTACTTTCGCAGGTCATTTGGAAATTTGGGGTCGGGTGCACTCTGGCGCCATTGCAAAACCACTCACTGAGGAGTTCACTTATAACCTGGGGATCATTGTATGTTCCAAGCTGCTTACAGTATTGTCTTTACTGCTTTTTAGACGTTTCCACAATATCCTACAAAGTTCCTGAGTTTTGGAGCTACCCACAAGCGCTTTATTTCCTTCAAGTTGTGACATCATTTTGTGTTTCTCTTCGAGCAGTTTAAGAGTTTCATGTATTTGATTTAACGCATTAAATTCCTTAAATACATGGTATTTCCTTTTCAATTTCTTTAGTTTTAGTCGCGTTTTGCGGTCTATAGATGGAGTTGGTGTCTTTAGGGCAGATTTTAGGGGCGCGATTGTGTCTCTTGCTGAGCCAATTGTTTTGTAGAAAATCTCAAGTGATACTTATAAGTTATTGTTGATGAAGTATTCTTCCCAGTCAGAACTTTTCAACAGATCTGATAGGAATTCCCAATCGGCATTCTTACAGTCCCTATACTGATAGTGCACCGGGGAATTTTAAGGTGTGTATTTAGTTGTTAGTCGGAGGGGTAGCGTGCAGTACAATATGTTTTGATCACTGTTATCAAGTTTATTTCCTGCCTCTATCGAGATGGGCTCTATTTCATGACAAAGGATAAAGTCAAGAGTGTTTTCATTTCTTGTAGGGAGGCGTACGCACTGCTTCCATCCGCCTACGTCTATAGCTTGTAGTAGCTCGTCATGGATTCTAGGTCCTGTACAGGTATCCCAGTTTACTCCAGGTAAGTTGAAATCGCCACAGACTACTTTGTAGTCAAAGTCCAGCGTAGCTACATGCTCTAGTGTTTCTCCAATAGTTATATCAGTCATTTCAGAGCTATTAGGGGGTCCGTATATACACCCCACGAGAATTTTATTTTCGTTTGTGTGGATGCTTATCCACTTAGATTCAGGGAGTTTGTCAGTAGTTGGGTTATTGAAAGTATTGGAGTTAGTGGATTTAGAGGCATATATTAAGCAGCCGCCTCCTCTTTTGTCAACTCTATCGTTCCTATAGATGTCGTAGTTGTCTATTACTAGCTTTGAGTCAGGTATATGAGTAGTAAGCCAGGTTTCAGTCACCATTATTAGTGTTGGCCGTTCTATGTATGCCAGGCAGCGAAGCGATGTTATTTTATCAAGGAGAGATCAAGCATTCAGGAGCATAATCGTTAGTAAACCAGAGTTATTGGAGGAGAGGTTAACATGGTTACTTGTTACTACCCCTACGTTATGTTTGGAGGGGCTCTGAGGTGAGACAGAGTCAGTGTGTGTACTATTTCCTGGATGAATTGTGCAGCGAGTGGGGCTATTGTTTGCTGCATCCGAAAATAATCCTGTTGCATGTTTTGACTTTTAGCATCCATGGGTGGGCATCTGCGTTCATTTACTGGTGATATATAGTTTGCTTGACCTAGGTACCCTGTGTTAAGATTACCTTGGTAGTTGTACCTCATGGGTCTTTCATAGTCGTATGCATATCGGCTCACATCACATGTGTGAGTGAAGTTATTGAGAGGGTCAAGTGTCGATCTATACTCATTATGTTGCTGAGGTTTAACATTTATAGTGTGAGAGTTTGGACGGGAATATTCATTAATATGGTGCCTATATGAGCCCGTTTAGTGCTCCATATATCCTGATGATCCATTCTAGGTTGCATTCCCAAGTTATGTGCGTTGCTAGGCATATTACTCCTAGTTCGGGAAGGGGTATTCTTACTCACATGATGGATGACGTTTTTGGGAATATGGTATTTTACCCATGCATTGTCATTTTGTAGACTGACATGTTGCTTATTAGACTTATTGAGAGGGAGGTATGTCGAAGTCTGGAGTGGGACTCTAGGCTTTGTGGTCTTTCTTGCAGTTTCTGCTGCGGGACTCTCTGGCTTGCATCCAGATTGAGTGTGGTCTGCCAGTGGTTTCTGGTCAGCCATAGTTTACGAGTCAATATCAACCCCATGTTTGTCACCAGGTTTTACAGATGTGCTCTCATGTACTTTAAGATTGCACCCAGTGACACTGCTCTTACTGAGTTTCGAGTTGCTTTTACTTGCCGATTTTTTTCCCAACACTATACACGTGACTTGCTGTGCTTCAGTGTCCGTCGACACTTTAGCACTAATACCAGGTGTATTTCTCGGTGTGTTCAACTCTGTATCGAAGGAGTTCTTGGTTGCTTACCTTTGGTTAGTTGTTTTATCCGAGACTACTTTAATAGTCTTGAATTTAGTGGCAGTAGACAGAAGATCTTCGGCCTTCTTAAATCGTTCAGCTATTACGTAGCTGTCGAACCTAAAGAGT